GTGTGGCGTTGAAAGCCGTGCATCGTCTAACGTCGTTTCAGTTCGGCAGACTTCGGCACTCGGCAGACTTCGGCACGGTGTTTGTGTGCGTGCGACTAGACGTATGCGTGTACACTAGCTGCTAACTCAATGATAAAAATTCCTGAATAACCTACATGTATTGTAAGATATTAAAAATATTTTAAACAATATTAACTTCTCATTTATCCAATAAGAGAAAAAAAATTGTTTTCTTATCGGTCACTACGTTCAAAAAGTGTAACTTGATTTAATATCAAAGACTTTACTGCATAAATAAAATAAATAAATAATTATAATTGCATAAGTTGATAGAAAATGCTATGCAATAGCTTTACCGCGGCAGTCACCGAGTGCCACACGTATTTTTTTTAATTAAAGGGAACTGAGCATAATTATCCGTCAGGGATGCAGACTTTTGAAAGGAAACTAAGCTAAATTGATTCGTCAGAGATGCAGTTTTCTGAATTGAAAGGAAACTGAGCCAAATAAAAGATCCGTCAGAGATGCAGCCTTTTAAGTTGAAAGGAAACTGAGCTTAATAGGTCCGTCAGAGGTGCAGCATTTGGAATTAGACGTTTGCGAGGCATTATGAAGTAACAAAAAACCTATTTATAAAAAAAGCGTTAAAATACCTAAAAGGAATTAAATTTCCTTTTGAATATTTTTTGAAAGCAAACCCAAAATATCTATAGGGAGTAAATATTCCTTTTAAATATTTTTTAAAATCAAAACAACGAAACCAATTCAAGACGCAACACGAATCCGAAAACGATAGCCAAAAAATATCGAATCAACTTAAACCAAATCACAAAAAAAATCGCAGAAAACCGAAATCGAAAGCAGTAGTCAATATATTTATAACCAACGAAAAAGAAGTAAGTGTATAGGTATACACTATCTATACTATTAATATTCCTTTGAAATATTGTTAAACAACCTAAAACAACGAAAACCAATTCACGATTCTAAATAAACAAAATCCAAAATCAAAGCCAGAGTCTAAATATGTATAAAGGAATACCAACCAAATTAACAAAACCGATCCAAGAAAATACACAAATCCAAAAATGAAAGCCAATATAAATCCATTCAACCTTAACCAAATCACAAAGAAAATAATAAACAACCGAAATATAAAGAAGGTAGTCGAATAATCTACTAAATAGAAACAATTTAAGCGTATGCACTATAAGTTGACGCGCGACTCAACGGCGGGAGTTAAGTACATGTCAGGAAATATTTCGTTACCGCGTTTTAAAAACCTAGTAACGACATCTAGCGGAACCAATTTAAACTATGTATACGTTAGTTATTAAGAACTCTGAAAAATATTTTTCTTATAATTTTGCACAATTTTTCTTACTGGAATACCGATTCATTCATAACCACATATAAGAACTGTATTCATTTCCGTTCCGAACGGGAATAACATGTTTTTCCGCGGAAAAAATTAGCCTATGTCACTCTACAGCCACCGATCTATCCGCATACCAAAATTCATGCCATGCCGACGCTCTGTTGCGGCGTGAAAAAAGGACAAACAAACAAACACACACTTTCGCATTTATAATATTAGTATGGATATTGATATTATTTATACTATAATTTTGAATGCTTCAATTATAGTTTATAGTGTTGTAATTTTTTTTACAGAATAAGGGTGATACAGTCAACCTGATGGTAAACGGATGCTGTGACTCATAGAAATCGGCATATATCCTCAATTAAGAATCAAAATGACCACTAGGAGGACAGTAATACCTCGTTTCCAGTAAAGAGTCCCTGGATCCCGACACTCACCATGTGAAACACATCAGAATTGAGCTGCTATTTTGCGCTGGTATTCTGTGAGATTGTGGTTCTCCATATCACCCGATAATTCCTAGTTTAAAGGCAAAACTCGTCGTATTATCTACGTTGGTTTATTTTTCATTGTTTAGTGGTCCTGGAGAGTTTAGTGATCGCATTGGTGTCGTAATTGTGGTAAGAGGGAAATTATGGTACAACATTGTATGTTTATCTTAGCTAACTAATTTAAACATCTTTAATAAAGGTGAGTAACAACTAGAATCCATTAACTAACAAATAAAACAATTACTTTGTACTCGATGTAACTCTATCAGTATATAAGTACAGTGATCGTAAACGCGGTTGCTGATCATGAGACTCTGGGTTCGAATACTGTGTCAGGCCAATATTGGTTACAAGGTTTTTTTCTGCCACTGTTCTAGCAACCTGGAGTCAGTATGTTTACAGCGTTTTCATCCAGGTGCCTCGAAAAGCACGTTAAGTCCCTGTAGTAAGTATCTTGTGCCTGATCTATTTCCGGTCGTGTCAAATTATCGTTCTATTGAACTATGAGAGTTAGAGAATGGACAGTGCATCTATGCTTGCGCATAAACTCGCGCACTACTATCATGCGTCCGCAGATGGCTAGTCTCCATTGAGACTAGCCACCGTGACAGTAATTCGGTGTGGTAGAGATTATTATTATTTTCAGTATATATAAAAATATGATGCATATTTAAAAAAACGTTCATGGAAAATAATATCAAGTATCTAAATTCGATATTTAAAACTCGAATAGTTTCCCTCACAAAACAAATTGCTTGTGCATTAAAATGAACAGTGTATATTTAACATAATAGATTGTTTTTTAAAAAGATTGGGTTAGTAAATAAATAATAGTTTGATATTTAGTTACCTAACTCCCAAATGTAATTGGCAAGAAGGTGCTCATTGTCACAATGATCTCCTTTTTACATTTTACAACTTAAATGGTGATCATAAACAATGTCTAATTACATAAACACACTAATTAAATAAAATACATGTTGATTAGCATAAAGTTTAATTGTGGGGTAAATTTGAGTAATATATTATACTTTCAGGGGAACAAAACTTTTTAAGTCCTGAAAGTTGCCATATTTTTCAGCAGTAAATTGGCAGTATGGCTGTATACAACATTCCAGGCAAAATTAATTCCGACCGTGTGACTTTCTCTTTTTTGTAGTCTTATAAACACAATTTTCACCAGAATCATTAATATAATTGTCCATTTTGAGATAAATAAGCAAAAACTTTTAAAAACGTACACACGTCTTTGATACAATTACTGCGATCAGCTCGTTCTAGCGTGGTTTCATAGACAATGAGCACCTTTTTACTCGGTATCGAAAGCAATGAGCGCGTTTTATCTTAAGGTAGAATTTTTTTCAATGAACTTTACGCAAAATCGTTGCCCTTTAACGTGTTTAAAATAACGTGCTTTGATTGGTTATAGAAAAAGAAGTAAAATGGTATAGTACATTCAAAAAACGTAAAATTGTCAATGAGCTCCTTTTTTTGCCCTTGAGCCCTTCAATCGTTTTCGCCATTCGTCAATTTTAATGTAGAAGGCTAAATTATAGCAATAATTAATGCGAATAATGACATCTTTTTAACAGTTTGGATGTCTAATGGTTTTTATATTTAAACAAATACTTCAAATTGAATTAAACTAATTTTACGGAATTTTTTGCTATTTAATTAAATATTTTTACCCCTTTCTTAATAGAACCCATGGTCTTGGGGAAGGGGCAAAAGTATTTGAGGCTACTGCTTTTGGATATTATTATTTGTTCCGATCAACTCAGAACGATTTAAAAGTAACTTGAAGATTTCAAAGCTACTGAATTATTTAATGGATTTTATCGCGTCAACTCCCGACGTTTTGTTACGGGGTCTGAAATGATTGACATCTCGATGAAAAAGTAAATCCGGAATATATTTAGATTTCAGATAATCAGGTAATATTGTTCCGATCTACGTAGAATACACCCTGACCATAGGTGCTTTAAAGCGCCCGAAATGTAAGGAAAAATTAGTAATAATCTTCATTTATTCATTCATCACAGCCTTACACAAGTCCACTGCTGAACATGGCTGCATGGCATCCTGAGCCACCTGCATCCATCGATTTCTTGCATCTCTCCGGCCGTATAGTACAAAGAACCGACAGCCGATAAGGAAGACAGGTCCTCGAATGACACCCTTTTATGGTAAGTGAAGGGCGGTCTCCCACTAGAATAGACAAATTTAAAAAAAAAATTTAAGAAATGATAAATTTGATATATCGGTTAGGGAATGGAGTCCTTGCCCACTGAACTTATAAAATAAATTGCGTTTAGCGATACGCAATGAAATTTGGCCAGCATAATTTGTAAATCCGATGTATCCGAGTTGACATTGGGACACGGACGGACACAGATGTGGCGTCCCTAAGTAAAACTTTGCTCCGCATTAGATTCATAATTAAAATAATATAAGTGTGTTAATATTAATTATTGTATGTGAAACCTAAAGTCAAAAATACAGTTACGCTCAATAAATGTTATTTACATTTGTTATGAAAACTAAATAGAGAAAAGTGAAAAAAACTGTGTGTACTTTGAATTTCACCAATAAACAATCTATGACCAAAAATTTATCATAAAGTGTAAAAGTGTTCTTAAACATAAATATTAACCAGTTTTAACTGTGAACAATCTATAATTTAATGAATCAAAAAACTAAAAAATTATATTTGAAAAAGTCGTTACAAAAATAAAATTCTGTGCGCGTCTATGTGGTGGCTTGTAATTGGTGGACCTTTTTAAACTGTCTTATCGGTTACTTTTATTGTTTGGTTTGCTACCTAAGTCTGCTATCCTTATATTTATGATTGCATTGTTCAAAAATATTGCGACTACCTAGATGAATAAGTGCGAGCGTTAATGTTACCGAGTAATCGGGGTTCGAAATCCCACCCTTCCTACAAGTCAATTTTTTTATATTCTTATATATACTTATTTTTTTCTCGTTTAACATTGCTCAAGATGGCAGTAAAATGCGATAAGTGTAAAAAAGATATTATTAGAGGAAATTTCATAACTTGCGACAATTGCCAGAACTTCTATCACATAGAATATACAAGTATAGGAGAGAAAAGGTTCTACTTAATGGCTGCAGAAAATAGAAAAAAACTGAAATGTGATGGTTGTACATACAATAAAACACCAGCACCTACTACAATACAGGTAAATATTCCTATTGAAAATTCTTTTCATTCTCTCAGTGACATAGATACGGAAACTTCACAAGAATCTATATACTATATTACTCAAAGAAAAAAACAAAAACAGACGTCCCGAGAAAACCTGTCTACATCGTATTGGTCAAGAAACTCAAATAGTCTTCCAGATCTCAGTCAAATAATTAATAGTGATAATTTGCAAGTACTAAAATTGGAATTGATGAGATTACAAACAGAACTCAACATAGCTAACAATGAAATTAAAAACTTAAACGCAATAAATACAGAACTAAATAAGAAAAATCAGGAGCAAGAGAAAATTGTAGAATTATACAAAACTATAAATGTAGACGAATTAAATCCTAGTAAAGTTCTAACTAACTCATGTATGTCAACTCCGCTCGGTAATCAGTCCGAAAAAGTTAAGAGGTATCCCTCTTGCAAAAAAGAATTTCCATTGGCAGAAGCCTGTAATAAAAACACATTGATACAATACCCATACATGAGAATAAAAGGGACTTCACCTCAAGAAACAACATAATCGATACTTCGAAGCCTATAAATTATACAGAGAAGCACACATTTAATACTAAGCCAAACGTATGTATAATCAGCAGTATATGTAACCACAAGCAATCTTCAATAATAAGAGACAATATGATGGAGCAGAGCGCCGCATACTGTCACTATCGCACACCAGGTGGCGACATAGACCAACTGTCACGTGGGTTGCAGGAGAAGCTAGCTAACTTCACTCTTAACGATTTTTGCGTATTTATGATAGGAGATATTGATTTTAAAGTTTCCAAAAATTATAAAAATATTGTATATATCTTAAAGCAACGCATCCTGGCTGTACAACACACAAACATTATTATTTGTTTACCGACATATAAATATTGCTATAATTCTAATCTCTTCAATAAAAAGAATTGAACAATTCATTAATTTATTATACTCAGATAATAAAGTACACAAATACTGCTGTATACTGGACTCTAACAAATATTTAGAATATTCATATACTATGTTTTCGAAGTACTCAGGCAAAATAAATATAAATGGTGTTCGTATTATCTTGAACGACTTAAATAAATTAATGTCAAATATTGCAACAGAACAGTCAAACACATATACTGTTTTCAAAAGTACCTCTTGTCCTGTTAGTCCGGTGAAGGAAAGATTGACATATTGTCGCTCCTTTCGTTCCTTCACAGGATATTAACAATAAACTAAATAATATGCAAGCAGAAACAGTTCTAACTGGTCTTAATATACTTCACCAGAATATTCAGTGCATGAGATCTAAACTCAGCCAGATAGAGGTTCTATTAACTATGGAAAAAATTGATGTCTTGTGTATTACTGAGACTTTTTTAAAGAACCAAGATGTTAAATTTTTACAAATTCCAGGCTATAAACTTGCTGACTCATATTGTAGAAACGAGTCTAGAGGAGGGGTCTGTATTTATATTAAAAATAGTATAGATTTTATTTCATTTCCCTGTATAAATCAATTAAGCTTAGATAAACACCTTGAATGTTGTGGTATACTGCTGCCAGAATTAAATTATATTATTGTTTGCTGTTACAGAATTCCAGACTCAAGTTTTGAAATATTTATAAAAACATTGCACATGTTATTACATAGAATTACTGTACGTTCAAGATATATGACTAAAAAAGTAATAATAGCTGGTGACTTTAATATCAATTTACTTGAATATAATCTTAAATGTTCACTTTTTAAAAATACTGTATTAAAATATAACTTAAAACTAACAATAAATGACCCAACTAGGATAACAACAAAATCGAAAACTTGCATAGACAATATTATAACAAATATAAAAGATTACAGCTCAAAAGTTTTACACTTAGGCTTATCCGATCACTCTGCACAATACATAAACGTACCATGTAATCAAGGTTATATTGAAAAATATTGGTATGTACATAGAAGAAATGAAAATAAGTTTTTAAATATCTTTTTAAAATATCTCTCTCAATTAAGTTTTTCTGAAGTTTTCTCGCATCGTGATGTCAATCAGGCGTATAATAGTTTTATTAGCTTATTCAAATTAGTATACGATCTTTGTATACCCGTAGAAAAGGTTAGAATCTCATTCAAGAAAAAAAACAAATTGGCAGACAGTTAGCATTAAAAGAGCATGCAAAACTAAAAGAAAGTTACATCAGAAAATATTTAAATATAAGAAACAGGAATTAATACCGTATTATAAGAAATACTGCAAAATTTTAAAATCCGTTACACGTTTAGCAAAACAAAAATCAAATATAAAATTCATTAAAAATAGTAACAACAAAAATAAAGCTACATGGCACTTAATAAAAAGGCAGACCACTTCACAAAACATATTCAAAACAACCATTAAACATGTGACTATTGATAATAATAATATCACGGATGCAAGTTCTATAGCTGAAGTATTTAACACTCATTTTGTTACCATCAACGCTCAAACACAAGCTACAGATACCTACTATCTACCTCCTACACATATAAATTGCTTATATTTATCACCCGTTGATGGAAATGAATTGGAAAAAACAATAATGTACCTTTAAAATAAAAAAAGTTGCGACCACGACGACATATCGGTCCAAAATTTTTAAAAAATCTATAGAGTGTATTAATGAGCCTCTTGTTTATTTATTGAACTTAATGATAGAAACTGGTACCTTTCCAGATGAATTAAAAACTGCAAAAATAAAACCCTTGTTCAAGAAAGGTTCAAAATGTAATGTCAAAGACTATAGGCCCATAGCTCTTTTACCTAACTTCTCGAAAATATTTGAAAGAGTCATCTACAATAGACTTGTAGAGTTTTTCAATAAATATAGTATAATAAGTAAAAATCAATTTGGCTTTCAGAAAAATAAATCCACTACACTTGCGATCTATGAAATACTCAAGGAAATTTGGGAATCATTAAATAATAAAACTTCTTGTGTAGGTTTGTTTTTAGATATGTCAAGGGCATTTGACTGTGTCATATATGATATACTATTAAATAAACTTGAAAGATTAGGTGTACGTGGCTTGACATTGGAACTATAAAAGCTATTTAAATGATAGAGTGCAAATAACTGCAATTGAAAAATTTGACAAAGTCAGTAAAACTTTTGAAGAAGTACGGTCCGAGCCAGTTAAAATGACTGCTTGCCACAAGGAAGTATTTTGGGCTCTTTGTTATTCTTAATTTATGTGAATGACTTGCCAAATATCACTGACAATAGATGTGTTATGTTCGCTGATGATGCAACAATCTTTATACCTGATACTCAAATGAATTTTGAAAATAATATAAATAAAACTTTAAAAATAACAGTTGAATGGCTTAAACAAATTAATTTAAACGTTAATCTAACAAAAACTGAAATATTTCAATTCAGAAATTACAAAACAAATTCTTTAAATTTAAATATAGCAGATAAAGAAACTCAAATAGAAATAGTTAATAACATTAAATTTCTTGGAGTCACCATAGACTGTCATTTAAATTGGAAATCTCATATTGAAAAAATAAACAAAAAAAATCTCTAGCTACAGTTACGTATTATTCATATTAGCAGAAACAACCTCCGTTGACGTATCAAGGGCTGCTTATTTCGGCCAGGTATACCCTCTATTGGTTTACGGTATTATTTTCTGGGGTAATTCTACAAACGTGCAGTCAACATTTATTCTGCAAAAGCGATGTCTGCGGATCATTTATAATATGTACTCAGATGAAACTCTAAGAAATGTATTCGAAGAAAAAGGCATTTTCACTCTCACTAATATTTATATTTTAGAAATATCACTTTTTATCAAACAGAATGGCAACTATTTTCAGATTAAATCTAACGGGAATTCACGCCCAATACGCACTAAATATAAGTATAATTTATATACACCTAGAATAAATAATTATATGTATTATAAGAGCACCTTTTGCACAGGTATTAAAATATTTAATCATCTGCCACTTCATATAAAAGCCATGGACTTGCCAAAATTTAAAAAAACAACTAAAAAAATGGTTAATACATAATGTTTTTTATAATTTGGATGAATATTTTAATACCAAATGATTTAAATTAAGTTTTGTTTTTTTTAATTATTGCATACTAATGTTTTTTTATAATTTAGATGAATATTTTAATACCAAATAATTTAAATTAAGTTTTGTTTTCTAATTATTGCATACCCGATATGGGTAAACCGTGTAACAATGTCACCCGCAAATTGTACATACACAGTTTATTGGCAATAAAAATATTCTGATTCTAATTCTGATTCTGATATACAAGGCAAGACAAATACTTACGATACAATTAAATACAATGTAGAGCATGTACAGACATAATTAAATAAAAAAACTAACGATGCCTAAATTACCATTTATCTTATGGTTACATCCCAAACCAAACTTAATTGCTACCAAAGTCAACTGCTGAGCCAGGCTTCCCTCAAGGATTGACTCCTAGGGAAGGATATATGTGGTGATAGGAAGGACTACTTTCATAAAATACCAGCGTTAAGTAGCAGCTTAATACTACTGTGTTTCATATTGTGGGTATAGACAACCCCCAACGGAAACCCCATTCCCACATAACGAGGCATTCAACCTTAGTCCTCAGGGTGATGAAGCCTCTTTATTTTGTTTTTATCAGTTATATGTAAATGTCTATAGACCACAGCCTTTCCCTCTAGAATAAGGATTATTCTAAAAAAAAATATTTGCCATCTTTGGCATACTCGGGCGCGGTTTGGCAACTGTAGTTTTATTACTGAGTTGTTATCAGAAAGTTGCTGCTGCCCATCTTTTGATTAATTTGCGTCTGTCTTCTCTTACAACACCCACAGGGGGATATATAATAGATGAGTGCAATACTTACACTTTGCCACTACGCGGTCTATTTCACAATTGCTAATGAAATAATTATTTTATATTTTCTCGGTATTGTTTTTTTTTATTATCATTTATTTTTGAATCGACGCCAAATACAACAACATTTTGCACTCTAAGTTCCTTTTTTTTATTTATTTATTCAGGATAACAACAGCTTATTAATACTTATACAATATTACTTAAATTATTAAACATGAAAAAGCCAATTATAGTTATCCCCAAAGTAGATAACCAAACATAACACTGTAAATCTAATACAATACAAAATAAAATCGGTAAGAACTATTACTAAACAGTAACAAATTAATTGAAGTATTAATATTACCTTCGTGACGTACATATATATACAAATACAGATGTATATACGTACAAAAGACATACATAATTACACTTACAAACTCGCACATATGAATCTTTAAATGCAAATATATTTTGGTGTTATTGTTATTATAGAAAATAGTTAAAAAAATTAAAAAGAGACACTAATATATACATACATACATACATACACAGATATATAAATATATATATATATATATATATATATATATATATATATATATATATATATATATATATATATATATATATATATATATATATATATATATATATATATATA